TCTAAACACTCTTGATCGTTAAACCAACAAAAGAAAGCCAACCCTATCACAAGGCCAACAAAGTCTGGACTTTAGGTCCCATTTTTCAAGAAGGCCCCACGTTAGTTAGTTCAAATCAAAATTTTTAAATCCATAAGATTTTAGGCCTTAAAAAAAGTCCTATGAAAATTTAAATTCAATCAAAAATAAATTTGAGTAGTTTAGGCTCATGAACCCAAGCCATATTATTAAAAATATACTCAAATAAATTTTTTAGGAAAAAAAAAAGAAAAAGCTAAGATTTAAAAAAATAATTACCCCAAATAAAGATAGAATATATTATATCCATTATAATTTGAGTCTTTGTTTGATTTTTTTAGTTTTATTCTAATAGACAATATAATTGTATACAAATGAGTGTCAAATTGAATTTTTTGATATATTTATACTAATTACTATGTTTTTCTCAAAAAATTGCGATTTTGTTTGAGTTTTATGTCAATAGATAATGTAATGGAAACATGCAAATGTGTTGATTATACTTTATGATGGAAAAATTGACTAAATTTGAAAAGTCCATTTAGTCTAAAATACTCAAGGTGTGTCATTTCTAACTTTTAAATACTATTCATACCTTTGAGTTACTTACTAACTTAGACATTAGAGAGTCGATCCCCTCCGGAGCTCCAAAATTTAACATTAATAGTATTAATTATGATTTTTTTTAAGAAAAAAAAAATTTATTTTTGATTTTATTTCAATAAATGACAAAATGGAACATGAATATTAGTTATAAAATTTAAAGAGTATTTTTTATTTAAGTATAATATTTTAAATTTGAAAGATCTAAATATTACATGTTTCAAATTTTAGGGGTTTGGATGTAATTTACTAATGGATTACATTAACGTGGGTCTATATGTGACGCGCGTATAACCTAAAGGGATCTGTATATAATATTTTAAATTTCAAATAGTTTAGGTGATAAAGTGATAAACTTCAAGAGATCTAAGTTTAATTTTTTCATAAAAAAAAAACAAAATAATAGAAGGAATATTGGAGTACTTCTTGGTAGGAAAAGAATTATTAGATTAATAAATTAAATCAATAAAAAAAAAAAAGACAAAGTGATAGAAGGAAGATCCGAGTACTAGTTAGCAAACAAGGAAAAAGTCGCTTGCTTTTTTTGATTCATCATATGTCCCTTTTAGCGGTGACTGGAAAGATTTAGATTGCCTCTCTACAAAATTTGGCCTTTTTCTTTTCATTTGCTTCCCCTACAAAACCTTTCATAATTATACTAATTACTCACAAACAACTAAATCTTCTTGTTTGAACGCCATTAATTTTTAATAATACCTGTCATTTTTTCTTGCTATGCAACCAAATCTTCTTGTTTGAACACCCTCAAACGCTCTCTTTCCTAAATTATTTTTTTTAGTATATACTATATATTTTATTTACCAATCAGATTGGATTTATTAACTTAATTTTGTTGATTTTGACGAGTTCAGATATAGACCAGGCCTGAGTCTAGTCTATGAGTAAAGCTCAAATATCAAAAAATAAGTCAGACTTAGCTCATGGCTTTAATCCAATCCAAAAATCAAAAGTCCAAAGAAAGTCAACGCACGAAAGATTATAATTATTAAGATAATCATTACTCAAAGACAAAGTTTTTTGGTTAATGCCATTAACGACGTCTATTTAATGGGGTATTAGTGTCATATCTAAAATATGAAAGGGTGCCTATGTAATAAAATCAAATATTAGAGAATCTGATTATAATTTACACAAAAGAGAAAAAACTTTGACGGTTGGTTTGAATATATCTATTGAGAGCAACTTCAATCATAATTATCTAAAATATATTTAAATATTATATTCTTTATTTTAGTTAATTATTTTTTCAAATTCACTCCAACCACGTTTTTTATTTTAGTTGACTACTTCAACTAATTTTTAATAATATAATTCAAAAATTCAACTCAAAGAATGTATAATCATCAACCCAACCAAATTCATATCATAATAATAATTCTAATTAAACTTTAAATAATACAATTTAATAATAATTTAACACCCATCCACTTTAAATAACAAAATTCAATTGCACAATACGTCTCATAAATTTAAGATTTTTTCAAGTACTTACATTAATATTTTCAAAAGAGTCTAAATATAAATATTCTATTATATATAAAATTAAGAGAGTTTTCAAAATTTTGGGGGTTTCAGAATTTGTTGGGGGGGGGGGGGG